AGTAGAATAAACATTTTGTCCAAAATTTGTGCCTTTCGTCCCCTTCAGGCACTAATGAGAGTAAATTGAATTTTTTTTGGGTTTTGACTGTTTGCCGCCAATTTATTTTGTCAATTTATAGGTTTTAAGTGATGCTCTTTACGATGGAATAGTCAAAATCTGGATTCTTTATGTTCCCTATAAAGGGAACTTGTTCCAAAATTCTTTTGAAGGTTTTCAGCCAACAGAAGCAACTTAATCATAACAGAAATCAGTAAAACCAACTCATAAGCTGCCGTTTTAGTAAATAAGAATAACATAAGAAGTTTTTGTATTTCTTATGAGTTTCTTGCGAACCTCTTATGAGAATCTTGTAAGACTCTTATAGTCTAATTCACGTATGTTCAAATGGTACATACACCTCAATTGTAACGGAAGAAGAAAAACTAGTAAAATTTTGTAGTCATAGCGCAGGGAGAAGCGTACGATTTTCGTCTCTCGAAATTTGTATGATTTTAAGATCGCGCACATGCTGTGATACTTTCGCATAAAATAATAATTTATCGATTGACTTTTCATCTACCAGCATTGAGTAGAAAAAATGATTGCCAGTATTATGAAATAGGTGATCAACTTATTATTATAATCGTAACTCGTCATATGATTACATTTTTTCTTTACTTCTACCTTATATGACAATTACAAAAACACAAAAGAAAATCTTTTTCCTTCTCTTACAGATGAAAATAACCTGCATACATCTTTGATTCATACTACATATATAGTTTCAGTGTAACGTGAGCACAAAAGAATAATTTTTGTTGCTTTGAATAACCTATTCACATGGCGACTACATCAACTCAAAATTATTTTTCTATACTACCGGATGAAATTTTATTTCAAATATTTTATCAAATACGTCCATTTGATCATTTATTAAAAGCAGTCTCTCGAGTATGTCGTCATTGGCATCAATTAATTTTTAATGAGTTATTTATCAACAACTATTATCGAAAAAAAAAATATCGTCAACCAAATTTAATTGGTTGGTGGAGATTTCAGAATTCGGATGCAATTGGCTATGATTCAAGTGGTCTCATTGGTCGGTGTTTCACCGTGACAGGTCAACCTAAAGTAGATGAATGTTTTCTAGGACATTGTGCTGTATTTGACCAATATTCATCGATACAAGTCCCGATTGGTAGCTATAATGAATATCAAACTGATTTGTTTACAATAGCTGTATGGGTTTATTTTAATGAAACGGATAAAGGACTTTGGTCATGGTCGACATTTTTAGCGGCATGGCAAGATGATATTAAAAAGAATTGGATACATTTAGGTTAGCCATAGTGCTTTTTTTTCTTTCGAAAAGTCGGTCACGTCAGATATTCTATACTCTGAACTGGTACTCTACTTTATTACCAAAAAGTTGAAAAATAGGCCGACAATTCCTCGGTCCTCCATTTTCTTTAGTCCGTACAAACAGCCGATTTCCAGAAGAATCTTTCAACAATACAGAGATCAATTCCATAGGAAAAAGTCAAAAAAGAAAACTAAAGTTTATAATACATTGAAAACTGACGAGAAGTCGACCCGAAGTGGTTAATCGCTTTCAACTTGAAACATAGTTGATCTAGGTACTCGACAATACTGATTTCGAATGTTGTAGTGGTTTGAAACAGAGCTGATCATCTGCATAATTGTTGACCCTCTTTGACAAAAGAAAATTTACCCGCGTTGCAAGTTAGAAAAATCTGGACAAGCAGGGAGTGCGGATAAAAACTTTTGCACTGCCCTGTCCTGCAGGTGAACTGCTATACCCTAATGCGAGGTATAACAACTTTTTTTCCTACTGACCACTATCAGTCTGCATTATGTACTGATAGTTATAGAGTCTATCACCGTTACTATTCACTATTCTTGTTCCACCTTTTTCTCATTCTGTTCCCATTATAGTCTTTTGAGATCTTCTTCGGCTATACGTAGTGCGCATAGTAAAAGAGGCATATGAAGTACAACAAGAGCGAAATTCATTATTTTTCTT